AGCTGCAGGCGGTGATGGAGACCCTGTTGCAACGGCAGCAACGTGCACACCAGGAGCTGGAGGCCCGGCAGCAGCCACCACCACCTGAGACCCCCGCCACTGGACCCACAGCCCGCGCACGGGGCACCCCGGATGAGGACAGAGAGCCTGACAGTGTGCGCATGCAGCGGGCACAGATGGCGGCACTGGCTGCCATGCGGGCCGCCGCTGCGGGCCTTGGACACCCACCCAGCCCTGGTGACGGCTCTGAGGACGGTCCTCCCGGCTCGGAGGATGAGGACATGGACCAGGAGGGAGCTCACAGCTCACCTGGCCAAGGCAAGGAGAGGCTGGGATGCTTGGAAGGAGATGGACACTTTGAGGACATGGGCTCGGATGATGACATGTGAGTTGGGCCCAGTAGGGTTGCAGAGAAAATCATCATGGTGCTTTGGAGCGGGGTGGGCTTTAGATAGAGGTGTGCAATGTTCTGGCAACTTGAGAAGCATAGAAGACTAAACAGTCCATGCAAAGGCCCTGGGGCAGGAATGGCTTGAGGATTTGGGGTGCAGGCTGGACAAAGGACAGGAACATAGAAGAACAGGAGCTGGGATCTGTGACCTAGAACAGGTCATCTTGTTCTGGGATGTTGGGGACAGAATGAATGTCCTCAATAATCTGAGTGCTTAGGGACCCCGAGGCCCGAGCGTACGGGAGCCTGCGCTTTCCACTTTCAGAAGGGGAAAACTGAGGCTGGGGCAGACAGTGGACCTTTCCCTGGTGCTGGGACAGACTGGTGCCCTGACCTGCCAGTGCCCTGTGTCCGCTGCAGGAAGCAAAAGTGGGAGGAGGAAGAGCTCGAGGAGGACATGGCGGACGAGGACGAGGACGAGGAGGAAGAAGACGACTTCGAGGAGGAGGAGGAGGAGGAGGAGGAGGAAGAGGGGCTGGGCCCCCCGGGCCCCACAGGCCTGGGCTCCACAGGCCTCTTCCCCCGCAAGGCCCCGCCAGCCCAGGCCTTCCGCGGA